AAATGAGGGGTGCCCTCGGAGCCGCCCCCGCCTGGTTTTTTTTTTTTTTTTTTTGCCAAGTGTTTCTTGCAGCGGGCGGGTGCTGGGAGCAGGTGGGGTGCACCCGGGCTACTAAAATGCTCTCCCGCTACGCCCTCCAACTCCCACGCCCCGACTCTGGCTGGCTGTCCCAGCACGGCCCCCCAATTCTAGCACCTCTGTCCTACCTTTCTGGTCCCACTACCTCCGCACCTTGGCCTCGATGTTACTGAGACGTCTCTGGGGCCAGAGGAGGGTCTGCAGAGTGGCTCAGCTGGGCCACGGGGGTCCGAGCGGCCCGGGACCCTCTGCAGCTATGCCGAGGTCTCTGGAGCTTCTCAGACTCTGCACTCAGAGACTCCGGGGGAAGAGGAACTACAGTCCGGGTGGAGCACAGAGGGGAAGAATGAAAAAGGCCCAAAGATCCGCCCTTCTGCACGGCCTCAAGGTTCTCACGGGAGGGGGAGGGGCCACCCAGGGTCCCACTTCCCTCTTGCTGGAACCTAATGACTTTGTCCCCCCCGCCATGAGCACTTCAACTCACTGCCTGTCGCTTTGCTCACTTGGTTCCTGAACTCAGCTCCGCTGACTCCTCAAACCCATGCATCAATTATTCATTCAACAAACGGCACCCAGATGGGGCCGTTCCAGAGACACGCGGCCTGTCCAGGTCCACAGAAGCACCCATTCATAGAGAGGGCAGAACTGGACACAGGCCCCCAAGGTCTCATGGAGTCAGGGCAGGGCCAGAGAGGGATGGGGTCCTGGAGGTCTTCCTGGAAGAGGCCGCGTTAAGGTTAGCGCTCAGGGAGTCAACAGATGGCGTAATGGTTACATCGCTGAACTCCCACATAGTGGGCCACGGTTCTGAGCCTGGACCCTGCAGCTTAAAACACGCAGGGCTCATATGCGTGTGTGCCCAAGATCCCGAGAGGAGAATGGAGGAGAAGGGATTGCGGCGTGGCCATCCCCCCTGGGGGACAATTTCTCGCTTTTTGTCTGTCTCTCTCTGTGTCTCTGGCAAGCACACGCGCTATATAGCAAACTCTCTTAAAAAAAAAAAAAAAGGGAGTCAGCAGGTGGCATAGTGGTTAAGGCAGCTGGACTCAAACCAGGCCAACCGCAGTTAGATTCCCAGACCTGGCAGCTTGCTTTCTTTCTTTCTTTTTTTGGAAAGGTTGTTGCTATATATAGGGTGCGTGCACTCGCCAAACAGACAGAGAGAGACAGAGAGACAGGAAGCAAGAAATCACCCCCCAGGGGGGATGGCCACGCCGCAATCCCTTCTCCTCCATTC